GAAGCCCCTGTATTTATAGTTGAAATTAGAAGTTATTCATATGAATAGGATTGTTTCTAAACACATTCTGTGTATAGGTGGAATAAAGAGAACAACAATTATTACATAAGCAAACTTGAAAACATGAAAGACTATTCTTCTGGGATTTTATTTTATTTTTTAATGTATTTGTAAAGCACTTTGCAATTTAAGGTGCTTCATAACAGAGAAAACAGTACAATATGGGATGTAAAAATAAAAATAATTTTTGCTAGATTAACTCATTGAAACATGCCCACATGCAGGATATATACACATATATGTATATCGAACTCCTGTGTGTATGTGACCCTCCAAACACGCCAAGCTGGTCACCTACCAGATATCCAGTTGCACTGGCACAGGGGAGAGAAGACTGAGTATTGTTGCAAACATAACCACTGCTTTGCACAGTGGCAAGACAAAGGCAAGATGGACCAATACCTTTTTCTTGGCCTGTAGCAGCTCCTGGTAGGCACTGGATCGTATAAAACGAGGATAAGAATCACTTTTCATCAGTTTGTAAATGTGCTCCTGAAAGGGAAAGAAGGACCTGTTACTCCCATAAAAGAAGACGTAAGTAAAATAGAAGGCAGTCATATACGTTTCAGTGGAATGTACAGTGTGGAATGTATACCACCTAGCACTATTTTGAATAGGAAATCTTACAGGATAGCAGGTTAAGTTAGAGAGGATGTTCCCCGGCTACTCTTGAAAACATCCTCTGACAGATGTTTAGTTTGCTTTTCAGCTGACAATATAATAACGAAAATACATACGCAAATTGAAAACCAGTACCAGGCTAATTCAATTTCCAAGTATTTATTCTTCAGAGGCATATGAAAATTTGGAAACCCTTCTCCAGAAAACAAATGACACAGAAGTTTATAGAGCTTTTCTTTTTGGAGCATTCTCATTCCTGTGAAATATGTAAAACTAACAGTCTGTGATGTAGGACACTATAATTCTAGATCTACCTATAATGTTAAGAAAGAGATTTGTAGAAAAAGCTATCAAAATAGGAAATACTACCCAAAATACTTCTAAAAAATCCACTGAATTTTGTTAGCTATATCTGTTTTATTTTTTACTTAAACCCTACTTTTTACTATAGCAAACGCCTAGTAGCAATCAGAAAACAACAAATAAACAGTAAAATAAATACTGTTTCTCAGCTTGGTACTGCATAAATTAGAGAATAGGAAAAAAAAGCCCAAACAAAACCAAAAAACCACCAAACCACCTTGCTTGAAAATTAGGGCAAGGTTCAATTAAAGCAGTTTTTAAAATCTTGTAGTATTAGAAGCTCTAGAAATGATCCTAGGTGCCTTTCATTGTATTTCTTGCACTAAGGAGAGACATGCTGGTATATATTCAGAACTTAGGTTGGTTCATTTGGGGAGTTTTTATTCCACTCAGTTTCTACAAAAGCAGCCAATGCAGCCAATGGAGAGCAAAAAGGACTCTGCTCCTGTGCTACATATCAATGGTTAATGGGCATTAGAATGTTATTTCTATGCAAAAAACAATCCTGTAAAAGCAAGAATAAATTAGGCTGTATTAGTATTGCTAATGTACACATGAGCTGAGAACTGAGGTTGGATGTTACTTAGCACAATCAGTCTATTTTTACTTATGTATCACTCTCATTTGACATGGAGTTCCATGATGCCATCTTTCAAGTCCAGAAATGCTTTTCAAAACATTTTTAACCACAATTCAATGACCTGCTGACTGCCAGAATGACTTATAAGCAGTCTCTTCCCAACTGGCAAGCCATAAAGAGCCATTTTAGAGGCAGAGCCCTACCTCTGACAAAACCCTGCCACTTCAGGTGAGGTATTCAGTAAGAAGGTCCTAAAGCTTCAAGTCAGAACACCATAGGTACAGTCTGCCCCCTTTCCCAGAGAAATGGAGGCTTCCAGGTTCAAGTTGTATGCTGAACTGGATCACATAAGCAGAAGTCTGACAGGAGGAAAAGTCCTGCTTCCATAAAGACTGAATAATACTCCATGCCTTTCATAAATGTAGGGAGAAAACCCAAACCAGAGAGATCTGGAAGTAAAATGGTGTTGAAATTTTACACCTGTTAAAAAAACATAAATCAGATACTGGCGAGGAATTCAATTGTCCTTTACTGACTTAACCGCAAAGACATTTTTTTTAAAACCTTGCTAGATTGTTTATTTGTGTAGCTTATGTCTTTGCTGTGCTGTACATTCCTAACTCTCCTGGGGGTCAGCAGATGCAAGCAAAAACTGTGTTTGGCTGAAGGCGAAGTACTTCAAAACAGTGGGCATGACATAACGTCTAATGAAAACATTGTTGTTGCATTATAGGTTATTATTCTCATAATAGCAAAATGAAAAGGTGGCAGAATTATTCTCCCTCCTATTTAGGGCAGACACACTTTCCCATAAAGTAGAAAGCCCCGATTCAACTCCCTTCTCTCTGCTGTGGGACTTGCAGCACCATCTCCTGCCTCCCAAGATGATGACCTAATAATCAAGCTGTAAGAAATTCCGTAGGGATATGATCACAATCTCTCCTTTTGACACCATTTCACTCTGCATTAATAATTAAATTTTCATCATTCGGCTGCTGATGAAAAAGGAAGGATGGTACCAGCTACACTACTTTTACTGTGAATCCAATTCTTTTCTGTTGCTTTTCTCAGAAGCCTGCAAAGATGAAATATTAAGTTATAAGTCACATGAAGTGTCACATTTAATGCAGAAGTAATTGGTTTTTCTTCTGAGGAAAACTGAGATTCGTATTTTATCATTCCGTTTTTTTAACTTTTAATTCCAAACTCAAAAAAAAAAAAGGACTTTCACAAATACAGCTCTGGTGAAAAGTATCTTTTGATGATAGAATTCAAATTGTGACTAAATCAGACCCCCAAAAGACAAATAAGACATTTACAGACTGTTCTTTACTGCTGTAATACTGATTAGTGAAGAAAAGATCTTTAGGATCTTTGCCCCATGTTTTGTAGATAGTAGTTTAATAAGGTATAGAATATACAACATCCATGAAATATGGTACTTCTTCACAAGCTGTCACAAAATGTTATTTCTCACATGGGTCATATTCTATTCATGACAGGAACCTATGAGTCCTACAAATGGTAACAACACTTTTTGGATGTGCATTGCAAGAATTGATTTTGAGTCTGTTTCAAGGTAAGTCTTTCAGAGGCAGATCTTGAGAACTAAGAAATGGAGCAGGGAGGGAAACTTTTCTCTTAATGTGAATGAGTAAGAAATTTAAAAAAACAGGAACATGAAAATACCATTTTCACTGCACTAAATGCTGTGCTTTATTTGAAGTCCATTGAAGACTCTATATGAGGCAAAGAAGTTTCACAAAGAGCTTTAATAATTCATAGGCCTCATGAAAGAAAGAATGTTACCCATTTGCATTGCCAAAATGGCATTTTAAGAAGCAGTATTACCATTTAATTCGCAAATATATCTTATTCTTTTGTAAATATCTTTCACTAGACAACATTCTATTTCAAATGTCCCCAAACAGGATTGCAAACTGACCTGAGCATCTTCAAATGTGTATCTTCCAGGGTCCTTTACATTCTGCGTGGTTTTGTCGTAACTTTTTGAATCTAGATTGATAGCGCTGGGTGCACCTGGAGCAAGAAATTCTTGCCAGATTTCTTGGACGCGAGCAGGAACTTCACGGATAGGCCTCTTCTTCAGGTCCTCTACTGCTAACCAGAACCTGTGGTACAATAGAGCATCTTGACTTCCAATTCAGTATAACCATTAATGAAGCGTTTAAACTTTTCAGTGCTCTTAATTAAAAATAAATAATGAACTGAAGTTTTAATCTAAACCATGCTAAATTAAGAAAAATCTGTGATTTTATGTTGGGATCAGCATTTTGGTATACTGTCTTAGGCAATCCATCCACTTTGAGAAGCAATTATTACAAGCCTCTTCATGAGAAGGGTGGAAAATCCTTCATTACTTATGTATGGGTAACTTACTTATGGGAAGATTTTCATTTAACTGGAATTAAACTGAGATTTCATTTCACCTGAACCGCAAGGCTTATATTGCCTATAAATCTATTGCTTTTTGACATTCCTTCAAAAACTAATAAGAACTTATGTTCTTGCTATCTACACGAATCCCTCTAAGACCTGCTAAACTATAAACTCAGTAATTTTGTTACTCCTCAAATCACGTAGAAACTGGAAAAGCATTTGTTCTGCTCACTATAATTTGTTTTCTTTCTTCAGTATTGTATTCCTATGCATATTTTTATTAAAATGCTGAATGGAAGTACCCATTCTCTCTTTTCTGTTGAGAAAACCAACACTGAGCAGCAGGCCAGTTCTTTGTATCCTTTGCACTTTGCTCTGAAGCAGGATCACTAAAGAGGGTTTGAGTACTTTGAGAACACACCTGGCTAGCTATAAGTTTGATAATCACTTTTCATTTGCTATTATGATTGTTTTATCATTATTTCTTCTATGGGTGTTCAGACTAGTCCACTGCATAAACAATGCCTTGCTTACTCTTGTGTACTCTGTGAGATCAAACAGGTTTCTTAGATTAGTTAAATGAAAATGGGACGGGGGAACAATGGAAATGTACTCACACCCCCCCAAGAAAGCAAGAAGATACCACCCTCAGTCCAAATTCAAATATAGTTATTGCAACAACTCTTAAGAGAAGATAGTAATGCACAGCAAAGAAAACCTTACAGCATTCCTCCTGTAAGACATTCTTCACTTGTGATGATTGCAGAAAGCAATTAGTCCTTCATAGTCCTGTTTTGAAACTCCTTTGTAGCACAGATGGAAGGAGCCAATGCTCATTGCTCACAAGCCATTATAATCAGCATCACTCTACTGAGATGACTTTTAGGTATCTCTACACTCTTCAGTTTCCACAATATATAAGCACAATCTTTCTATCTATTGATCCCCTAAAATTCTGCAAGAGACAGAGAAGTAATATTGTCCCAGTTTTGCTAATGTATTAATAATGTAATAATGTACAATGGCTTCTCCAAGGTCACAAAGGGAGTCTATGCCAACAGAACTTCAGTTTCAAAAACGCAGGCTGCTCTGTGAACTGCAATGTGAACTGAACGTAGATCTGCACAGAGCCTGAGGACATATCATGAGAATCTGATGGCAATGCAGTAAGCATAGAGGCCTCATAACTTAACTTTAAAACTGCACAGCTCACAAACTCTAATTCAGTTCACTGTCAAATTTAGGCAACCTACTTTGGTTTCCTTAAGCTGCTTTCGATATTTGCATTTAAAAGTGTGTATCCTGCAGTGCTTACCCCTTCAAATGCATCTTCTGGGACTGACTGATTACTCGTATGTGTCAAAGTCAGGTAAGGAATAGAAAAATGAAAGGGAAGGTTGTTCTTTGTGAAAACAGGGTCTAGCTCAAAGCTGTCACATTCTTGTTTGTTCCATTATATCACTGCCAATACTTCTGGCAGTCACTGCAAACATGCCTTAGGATGCTGTTTTCTTTTGCAAGCAACCTCTTTCCATATAGCAGGTTATGCTCAAATATGGGGAAATAGATGGAAGATAAATTTAACTTATTTGAGGACACATTCAGCTTCCAGCATAGAACAGGCAGGTTGTATAGACAGATCCTTAGAGGCTGAACACCATCTCTTTGATGGAATAGTTTTATTTTACCCTCCTAACATTATCATTCGAAACCCCTATTGAAACTGTGAGGTTCAAAATATAGAAACGTCTGTAAAAGTGGGAAGAAAATGCTGATTTTTGTGATATGTTATGTCTAGGGTGCTTTACAGCCAACATACTTTTTAACATTTTAATCTACTTACTGATCTTTCAAGAAAAAAATGCCTGCCCTCCTCCCACAGAGTTGAAGTCAAATATGCAAAGTTAGGAAATTCCAGAAATAAGGCTGCCACTTCTTGCATTTTCAAAAATAACTTTTCTGAATATCCCATGGCAACCAATAGTACAGATTAAGCTGAATTGGAATCTGTGAGACCTCAGCACAGGGCCTTGAGTCAAAAATGCTCCTAGTCCCCTTTTACAGCTCTCTGCCTCATGAGGTGTATCCAGAGCAAGCGAAGACTTCTGCAGCAAACAGCATGCAGTGTGCAACAGTAAATATGTGTAATGGTAACAGAGGGGAGAGGGGGAGCTCAAGTATATTTTCTGGACAATGATATACAGACAGCGCAACTTCGTGGAAGGAGCTAGAGCTCAGTCCTTTGATGAAACTCTGTATCTTCTGTTGATGGAGGCTTGCTTCTGCCAGGGAGACCCTCTCTAGAAGCTGCTCAGTACCATTTGAACAGAGACCTGAGTAGCTGGGTCTAAATCTTACTGTTGTCTTCTGTCCCAGCATTTGGGCTGCCACACACTGGGTCAGACAGCAGACGTGTAGCTGAGTGACAGCGTATAGCATATGACAGTTATACAGCCAGCCACATGACGTGGTAAGTCTCATGTTGCAAGACATCTTAGGGATTATGTCCTCCAGCTGGATTACTTTTAAAGTGATGCTGGCCTTGCCAGATATGAAGCACAGCTGCAATACGGGTTCTGTCCCATTAACTGACCTAAATGTCAGATGCAGCTATCAGCAGATCCCAGATCAAGCTAATCAGTTAAATTTAGCACACAGGAAGACAGAGTGAGAGGAAGGCTGCAGTGGTTCTCCACAAAATGTGTAAGGTTTAGGCAGTGTGAAGACAATGAAGTGGGAATTATGTGGGCTTTGCACCCAGTACATGTAACATGACAGGTCAGGGAACAGATCCTTCAGCATTTTCAGTAAAAGCAAACAAAAACTTTAACAAACTCCATGGAGAAAATCAGCTACCATTTTTTTTAGGAGCAGGAAAGACTACTCTCTGATTCCTAGAGTCCACCTTCTTGTCAAGTGCAACATCAAGCTTCAACACATGGTAATGCTGAAGATCTTCAAGATAATGACAGAGAAAAACATTAAATCTTGCAACTAGTTCCTTATTATCTAATCTGCAGAAGTGGCAACATTGTTAGGACTTGGAGTTTAAGCTTGAGTCTGAATTAGAAATAAAGCACAGGCAATTTCATTCTTGAGGATTAAATTTTGGTCAAGTTATTAGCACCCAAAACAGGTCCTCATAATCAATGTAATGAACAGTGTGAAGGATAAACATTACCAGTTGCCACATTGTGTGGGAAAGTGTCATTACCAACACCTCTGTTCAGACTTGCAGGACAAACATCAAGGACAGTTAATCAATCTTCATACCTTATAATACACAGAACACCTCCACGATCAGACAAGACAGAAATGTTTTGCATTTAAAGTCATCAAGAGTGGTGATCAGTAATAAAAAGCAAAAAAAAAAATAAAAATGAAAGTGATTCAGGCTGTATTAAAAAGAAAACCTCTTGCGCCATTCTCCCTCCTCTCTAGTAAAAGCATTGGCATGGTGTTACAAAAATAGCCAGAACCACTGAAGTAAGTTAACCATAAAATTAAGCACTATGCCTGAAACACACTGAGGCACAACTGCAAATGTTCAGTAGTGTATATGTTGGGGTTTGTTTTTTTTTTTCTACAGGACATAATGGAAGCCTTTATGTCTACGTACAGAACATTTCTACAACTTTAATGGATGAGTCCAAAATAACCACCTCACAAAATCTCACCCTGCAGGGGGATGGTCAGAGAAAATTAATTGAGAGAAAACATCTAAATCTAGCTAACTTTTTAGTCCCATCCCTCTTTTCTGGGAGAAGCAGAACTCTAAGCCCCTATTCCCTATTTACTCATACATTGTGGAAGCTAACGAATAAGAATCAAAGGAAGGGGCAATGGGGGGCAGTGGCTTTTCCTTTTGCGCATCACAGAAGATGTGCTGTTACCATTCTCCCTTCACTAACCCAGAGGCTTCTGCAGTCTTAGTTCTGCCTTGGAGATCACGCCTACTGCAATACTGTGTAATGACTTGGACAGGCTTTCAAGTTGGCAGACCTGAAATGGCAGACCGTTTAGATCTAGGCTGCTGTACCCACAAAACAATGACTGGGGAGCAAAATTACAGTGAGTATATGAATACTAACTTTCCAAAGAATTCTGCAGCACTACAGAAAGCAAAGATATGGAGAGGAATGGGGATTTTCTTTCTTTTCTAAAGAAATTAGGTTTACTGGTGCCATATTGCAACAAGATTCACTTCATTATCTTGCTCTCTTTGAAAAGTCTTTTTTCAGTACTTGGACAGCTTTTGTGACCACGCTTGGTAGCACTGGATCATGCCCAAACTTAAGTCTTGCGAATTTTCAACAATGGTCACCATTTTTGTAATAGGCAGGGGGAAATTTATAAATCTATAATTCAACTCATATGTTTCATTAACTCTTTGTTTTGTGTAGTGAGCAGCATGCAAAGCAATCCCTCCCAAAAATCTGCATGGTAGCAAGAGATTACAAGTCATAGCCTGCATTAGGTGAATGCAGAATCCAAACTGGGGGTTAGCAAACTTCAGTCACTGTAATGAACCTACCACACTAACAGAACTACTTAGAGAGTTTTATTCCTTTGCTATGCTTTAAAACACCCCATTAGAGAGCGAAATACTATTAATCCCAATTTACAGGCGAAGAAAAAAGCCCTGGGATAGAGTAAGGTGAAACCTGTTTGCATTCCTGATCATTATACAGCTCTTAGTTTTAACTCACAGCTTAAGTTTCTTCATCTTTGTTCTGTTTCTTAAGACAGGATCTATATCCAATAAGAATGAGATTCTCAGGCAGCTTAGACACTCACAGTTCAAGTTAATGAAGTAGTAACACTGGGACTTTTAGCTGTGTAACATAATCACACTTCAATAGAAAAGATGAATCTGGTAGACTTATTTCACAGTTTCAGTATTTCTTTCACTGAAGTGAGGTGGGAATCTTATAATCAGCTAACACTGAATCTCTCTGAAGTGTCTGCAGTCCCCTGCTGTATCCTGTGTACTGCACTTTGTAGGTTGAATCCAGGGTCCCAGATGTCTATCTCAGTGCAGGTTTCATGGTGCTTGTTGTAAATCATCATTATTAGATCTGTTAAAAGGACAAGAGTCAGCTACTGACTCGAGTTCACTTTGTTGGAGTGGGAAGATGTGGATAGAAATTAATCTTTTCCTCAAGGTGGCTGTCAAATACCAAATAACCCCCCCAAAAAAACCCCAAATTGCCACAGTGGTGTTAACAGGTGAGCAAACACGTAAGTGATCTTTTCAGTTTAAGGTTTATTCACATATAATGCTTGAAAACATCAAGCTTTTCATTTCTTTTACTGAGATCTGTAACATTTTGACTGCCATACAGAATAAGCTTTAAAGCTGACTTTACTGTGTGAGCCTAATACTGGATTGATTTTCCTTATCTTTTGAGAATTTATGAACATAATTCTGAACTTGTGAGATAGTTTTCCTTCAGCTAATCATCACAGAAAGCACCTTTTCAGTGCAAGTTTGATTCCCTGCCTGATTCTTCCGAGGGACAAACTTTAAGCTCATATTCACCATTGCTCAGATACTATAATTTATAATGCCAGTACAAGAATTTAGAGAGAGAGACAGAAGAGTAGATGGCATGTCAAGGAATGAGCTCTGGACAAATTTCTCTAGGAATTTTTCTGGATCAGTCCCTTTCAGTTTGCCTGTGGTTAGTGTTGCAAATAGGATTAGAAGAAAGAGCTAGGGATTATGCGGGTAACAGTCTAGTTGGCAGAGAGACAAATTAATCACAGAAAAGCATAAATTGGAGCACATGCTGAGTGGGACAGGTTCATGTTTGAACAGCTGCTCTGCATAAGGAATTACCAGGATGCTTCTGAAATAATGAAGTTACCTTTTCTTTTCTTGGTATTATTCTGATTTTTAAAATTTCATTTCACCACTTGGATTTTTTTATTAAAAAAAATAATCTGTATCTGTCATTGATGAAGTTATCAACATACACATATAGATCAGGCCATATTTCCATGGGGGTAATGACAAACAAAGCAATTGGAAAACATCATAAGGTCTAGAGTATCTAATATATATTTATGATGCAAAATTCAGTGTTTGAATATGAACATGGTCAGCCTGTTTGAATTCAATGTTTGAATATGAACATGGACACCTGCAGTTATTCTGCTGACAAATTTACATGAACAACAAGGAGGTCTGTGCAATTACCCAGGATTTATGAACCAAAATTACAAAATGCTAAATGGGTCTTTTAAGATGCTACATAAACGTAACTTTATTATGAATGGCTACGCTGCACCACTTTGGACTGAGAACTGACATAGAAAAAAGTCATTTACAATTTTTCTGAGCTCTAGAATGTGTGCAAATAGGATTTTATACTCCTTATGCTATTGGTAAATGGGAAGTGATACAGATGACATTTGACAAGAAGGCGGAATAAAGAAAAAATATGTCATCTATGCCTTTTTTACTATGTGCAATTTGACTTATCTATAGAAAGGCTGTTATTAATCCTTCTGAAATAATTCTTACCAAAAAATGTCTTCCTTAGAACAGCAGTAGCAATATATGCTATTAGCCAGTGGATGGACTATCATTGCTTAGAATCAAATAATTGTTCTCCTTCACTTAAAAGTAATTCCGTGTATGCATTTCAAAAGGAAATAGTATTTAAGCCTTATGCACTAGCAACACCTTTCCTTTTTGCGATTATTGAGGAATCTGAGAGCTAGCTGTCACACATACTGCTTCTGTTGTGTTAGACCCACGAGTACTAGAATCTTGGAGATATTCAAAAGACCAATTGTCTCCAGAAACCTGACCAACAATGAGTCTGTGAATTTTACTTTAAAATCCTTTATTTATTTTTTAACAAATTCTCTTTTTTAATTCTACTGTTCTCATAATATTGGATTAATAAAAAATACTGAACAGGCTTTGAACAGGTCAATGTTTTAAACCTGTTTAATAAAATGAGCTGAGAGAAAACCTCTTACATGGGTAGTTTGACCAAAACTTGGACATGAATGGGACAATATGCTTCACTTTAGTCTCCGCTTAACTATATTAATCTTCCCCTCAACCTGAATATGGGAGCAGGCGGCAGTGTGCATGAATGGATTCTGAGAGGTAAGACAGGAAAATTTTTTAAGGGTTCAAAAAATAAAAAACATCAGACAAAGAAAAGCCCAATGTATCTTACAAGCTAGTAAAAAATAGATTAATCTCATTTACCTTAAATTTTCTGAACTGAATTCTGACTCCAGGAATTTGAGAAACTGCTCTCTTCCCACAGGGTCTTTCAAAGCTTCATCCATGCCAAACCCCCACCGTTTCACCCTCTGTTGTCCTGGCTCTTTGCTACAGAAGAAAAAAAAAAACACAGAACGCACAATAAGCAGTACTTCAGTATTCTAATACTCTCTGTCTGTAATTTAGACCAAGTCCTAAAGTTCAGCCACAGATTTCTCACCTTCCAGATTGCTTTTCACTTTCCAGATTGCTCATATCTGTGCAATGTTTAGAGATGAGCAACCAGGCTGTTAGTACTTACACAGGATGAAGTTAATATACATGCATTTACACAGAAGAATAAGGACTTCCAAGTAGGAAATCCTATCATATTTTTAAAGATGTCTTTTTTCCCCCCATTGGACCCTCAGAAACTTGTTAGTGTAACTTTTATACAGATTTATTAATCCATAGCTCTTCTCATTTTATGAAACTGTAAAGCTGCAAAGACCAAAAGGATACTGCATTGCCCTTTTGCCTCAGTATTTTCCTACTTCTGTCTGACATCTTCACGTTTCAAGAAAAGCCTGTTATAGCCCTTAGTCCAAAAGAAGAAATAAAATTATATACCTTGCCTCCAGTTCCCAGAAAGTGGTGTCATCTGATATCCAAGGGTTTGAGGGATCAGGGGGCACAAGAAAAGGATCATATTCCAAATACTGCTCTGTATAAGCTAATAGACTAGGAAAACAAAAGAATCAAACGTTGTAATGTCAGGAGGTGAGGAACCTGATCAGTTTACCCAGTTAACAAGTTAGTTGCATCAACTGAACCATGGTAACTGGGTTTGCACACACTAAAAGTCAGCTACAAGCTCAGGTTAAAGTGGGTCTGCTCAAGCCTTTTAAAAGTGGACCCCTGAAGAAGGAGGGGTGGCACAGGTCTTTTCAAGAGCTGAAATAATATAAAATAAATGACAAACTTCCCCATTACTTCTACATAGCGCCTTTTGGGGGTCCTTCAGGCACTAATAAATTAAATCAAGCAACCTCTTCCATGCACATTTGCTTTCACAAAGGAACATGTTTTATACCCCTACAGTTTTAATTATCAGTTCTTTTAAAACCTGTTCTAAAACACAGCATGCTATTCAGGTCATATTTATTGGCCCTGCAGCTGCTATGACTCCTTTCTTCCTCTTTTAAATACACTTAATATTTTTATTATTTCCCAATCAAATGGCACTACTCTCAAGTGTATTGCTTTCCAAAAAATGCCATTTTTTTTCCCCAGAATTTCTTTGGTATTCATGAATTGGTCTGACTTAGTTGAAAAAGTTTTGCTTGTATTCTGGTAATTTACATCTCGCATGCCCTTATTCCTCCTTTCCATTTCCTTTTGCCCCATAATTATTGAAAATTCTGGACAAATGAGGACAAATATTCTTTCTTTTCATTCCTATTTATATTATATTTAGTCTCTATTTCTATTGTTACTGTTCAGTGAAAACATATTCTTAACCTGTTTTCTTTATATATATGTGTGGTTTGAAGTTTATGCATACATACATGAATACAAGTAGACACACAAACATATACGAGAGGATGAAGAACCATTTGTATTTGGCTTAATTTCCTTTACTACATCTTACGTAGCTCAATTTTCACTATCTCTGTACTTGATGAGTAAAATAGAGCATTCCTTTTCCCTACCCCTTCACTACATATGCTGTAGTTAGCCTTTCCAAGGGGCTTTTTGTTCTATTTGCTTTCTAGCCCATTCCTGACAAATTTTGGTATCATACGGAGAAAGATTCCTACTAGTGTTACATCCTCTTACCCAAAGTAAGCTCAGACTCACCTTGTTCAAGCACCAAGCTCCTCACCCAGACAGCTCTACCAATCAGTTGCCTTGCTTTATCAGTTATTGCCCTTTTGAAATATCAAAATGGTAACCCCAGACCTATTTCCATTTAGCTTCCCTGCCAGTGCAAGGTTAAACTTGTGACCACATGGTCAGAGGCTCTTTCAGTGACTTTTGGGTTTATCAGAAATGTATCACAGAATATCTGGGCCATCTTTTATCAGTAAAGAATTTCATACCTTCCACTTAAAGTAAAATCTCAACTGTTATATATAGGAAACCTGAGCTCCCTTGTTCCTCTTTCTTTGAAGCTATTTCATACTGTCATTTTCCCAATAGTTATCAGTCTAATTGAAAAAAGCAGAAGATATGACAATATACTTACCTCTCTGCAACTTTTGACATTTTTAATCTATGTCTGTCTAATTGCATTTGCCAGTGCTTAATCTGCAAAAGAGGAAGGCAAAGAGTTTTGTGAGCAATTCATTGTTTGACACTATTTCCATAACTTTTTATTAGGGCTGTAATTTAACCTTAATTTAGTTAGGGCACATAAGAGAAATATATTTGAGTTAAAACAACCATTGGAGTTCTAAAATAAATGAAATTTTCCATCAAAGAGAGAATATCACACAGAGACAAAAAAAGGACCCAGTATAGCATTTTCACTAAAGGTTCATCAACTGAAATCCAATTAGCCTTTTTTTTTTTAGATTTTTGAAGAGAACTACTAATTCTTTTGACATTTACTTTCTCCTAACTCTTAACACCTTAGGAAAGATCCATGAAGCATTAAGAGTAGATAAATGTGTGAACCTGTATATGCATACATGGAGAGGTAAACATACTCCCAAACCTTGAATGAGTATTAAAAAGAAAAGCAAGCTGTCTGCTGCTAAAGGGGCTAATGGGCTTAGCTGTGCAAAGAGCCCACAAACTGGCTTGCCTGCTGCTTACTGCCTTTAAGTGTGCAATGCAAGACATAAAAAATGTCAGGGTTTGTCTCCTTAGTTTTAATAGCAGTTACACACCTAAATCTGCACATCCTGAAACAAGGAAAAGATCTACTAAACATCTGCTAGATCTGTTGAGAACAACAAAAAAATTGTGAGTTATGATAATTTTTGGTTTAATACCTACTTTCCTAAAAAGGTCATTTAAAAGTACATGTTTGCAGTTATTTTTCAAACCTCTTCGTGTAGTTCATCTTCTGTGGGTGGCTTAGTCTCTGGTACTGGTGTGTGGGTAGGGCTGTGACTTCGAATGTCGTTTTGTAAGCCATAGACAGACTACACAAAAACATGGAACAATGACAGTTACTTTCTGACACTGCTTTCTACACATAGCCATAGTAACTGTGACATTTAAATACAGTGTGCTCAAGAAGTTGGACAAGATCATCTTTTCGTAAAGAAACTGCAAGTAAACTGCACTCAGATAAAATTGTGCCTTTGTACCATGGTGTAAAATAAAGACTCCCCACACCCCACAATTTCATAATGCCATAGAACACAGGATCTACTTTTATTAAGTCTTTATTTAAGAGCATAGTAAACATAGTCTTTGTTTAACAGCATAGTAAACAAATAGTAAAAGATTTGATGACACTGAGAGGCAGTTATTATGGTAAGTGGAGATGACCGCTAGGAAAAGAAGAAACAGTATCCTGGAATGTAGGCAATCACAATGGTTTATTTGGATGACTCCAAATTTGCAATTACTACTTGGTAAATTACACTAAACTTGACCTCTCACTAAAGTAAACAAGTAAAGCTAGAACTTTCTCTAAATCCATGTTCCTTTTTAAAAAATATTTTTCCATGGATTGACAGGAACATACACCTCAAAGGAAGTACTTTAAATTTGGAGTCAGTATTATGACACAAAGGATTTGAAAGAAAGTGTTGTTCCAATTCATCTATACATCCCTAGAGAACTCATACTGTTCATGTCTGGATCCTAATTTAGATGAAGCTAATTTCCTCCACAATTTCTGGTCAACCATCTGGGGCATAATTGTAAACTAGAGACACCCTTTTCATTAAGACCAGCACAAGAAGAATTACTGTTATAGTTTACACTGCACTTTAAAGTTATTTTTCCTTAATTACTGACAGGAACATTTCAACATGCCCTATTCAATCTACAGAACAATATGAATAAAGCACGCAAAAATAAATTTTATTTTCATATTTTCTGTGTATTTCTCCAAAGACTTTCTTAAGTGATAGCATTTACTTAGTATTAGAAAATTTGTTAATACTGGTTTATTTAAAAGCTTATGAAATGATAACATAGGTGCATGTATTTGTTCTTTGCAGCTGTAAGAAAAAATTGTTTGAGGAAATTATGGAACTTCATGCTATAAATTACCCCAACCTCCTGCTTTGATATAATAACAGTACTTACCTTTCTTGTTTTATGTGGATTTCTCATTCTTGAAGATTTTTTTATATCCACTTCAGTAGTGTTTACACATCCAGGCTATTAAAAGAAAAAGAAGGGAAAGCACAAGGATAAAAATTGTGAAAGAACTCCATACTATTTTCATGGAGATACTCCTCTTCGGTTTGTAAGGCCAAGAAAATAAATAACCACAGGCATGTAACAATTTGAAGTCTTTCTGCAATAGTTCCAAAAATCTAAATAACACTTAGTCTCAGGAAGCATCTCAATCACCATTCTGCCTGGCTTCTTTTAAGAGAGAATCTTCTGCTTTACAGCCTTGTTTGCTGGACCCTGCGATGGTTTTTAGGACAAGTTTTACTGTATATGCTGAAAGTACTGAAAGCAATGTACAGAGGAGCAGAAAATATCCAAATACATACACACTTGAAGAACAAACACGTGCCAACTAAAATTAAATTGCTATTTGGGCATTTCAAAGTAAGACACTGAAGACCACACGCTTAATGCTCATGACATTGTGAATTTGAAATAAAATAAATTCTGATGATAACAGAAATGTTTCTGTTTTGTTTTGACACAGAAGCATAAAATTTGCATTCTAGCTGTCTCCTCCAAGCATGGTTGACCTAATGAGACAAAATAAATAAAATTGTGCATTACCCACCTCAGCTGTGAACCCCAGGCTCCTTTCAGGAGCATCTGGTTTTGGATCACGTTTTAAAAGATGACCTTATTTTAAAACAGGTAAGAAAATGTGCCAAAATGAGATTTGTTTCTTCCAAAAAGAAAAGAAAAAGACTGGCAGTCTAAACAGAATTACTCTCGACACATCTCATTTGGCCTTAAAAGATTCCTTCTCACGACTCTGTAGCATCCCAAAGGACACAGGTCCTCTAGTTTCCCATAATTCATCTGCCTTTGACACTTCCGTCTAAGCACCAGCTCTGTGCAGAAGTCTGTTCTTTAACCATTGCTGGAAACAACTAATAATAAGTGTATGCTCTCAGGTGAATTTTACCTATTGATTTTACAGGGATTACAATTTCTACTGAGAGTGGGAAGTACAAAATCTGCTCTCTAGCAGGAGCAAATTTTTAGTGAAAGTAGCTTGGGGTTTTTTAATGAGAGTAATAGATGTAGAATTTGCTTGCCACGCAACCAAGCTGGACTTCTTATCACACTAGTGATACAAACTTTGTCTTCTTATCATAATGTAAAATGCTTGATGTGGCTGCAGGTCTTCACAGACAAAAATTTTAAACATTTTTTACATATGCAGAACCAAGAAACAAATATGTTTCTTTAAACAGCCCAGGGATACTTTGCCTCAGGAAAATATTTTAAATAACAGACTGATTTGTTTTTATCCGGTATTTTTAAATTAATAAGTTATTCTTTTAAAGTCTTACATTAATGTGTGTTTGGTCATACCACATTTGCAGTATAAACAGTTCCTTATCACTAAGAATAAAAATAGGCACTTACATAATATTCTCAAGACTGCATTGACATGCCTATTGAACTAGATTACGGAAGGTACCCTTTGTGCTTGTGAACAAAAATGGTGGTTTCTAAACTCAGAATAACATGTAACTCTCAAAGACAATGACAAGTTGAAAAATACAAAATTCTTCATGATGGTCAATTTAAAGGCAGAAAGCAATTTCACAGGGAGTATACCGAGATACAAAGTCAAAACCAAAACAACGCATCTACTTTAGTACCATGGTAGCAGCCGGCAGTGAAGAAGACATGGGCTTTTAACAGTATCCACGGCCCTTAAATGAAATTATTTGAATAACAAGCAACTTACGTAAGGCACAAATCCATAACTTGTTTTGGTTTCAGATATGGTTGGTTAAAGCATGTCCTAAAAATGGAAAGAACAAAAGGAAAAGCAGGGCCAGGGAGGGAGGGAGCATAAACCTGATGCAAAGTCTCTTCTTTTCAAAGATTTCAAGTCCACCAGCAGTAAATTGGTATGAACAGATCTAGCACCATGCCCACATGATTTACATTGCAGAGCTGTGCAGATTGATGTGAGGGAATAAGGAATTCTGAGAGATTTTTAGGAATGAAACAAGGGTGAAGCCTTTTCTGGTTGGAAAGAGACCCAGCCCAGTACTGAACTTCTCCAGCATCTAATGGATTCTTACTGACACCTGACTGCTTAAAACCTCTCACACCGATGTAAAGCTTCTGCAGCATACTTCAGAAGGGGGACTCATGAGAGGCTATGAGGGCAGAAATTAGACCACGCTGTGACTGAAGGGAAGCTGACAGGAGAGCAGCAGCAGCCGGAAGGTACAGGCAGGGAAGCATAAGAAAGGTTCAGTGCAAAAGGGAAAGCAGCTAAAGGGTGTATCACTACTCTGACAAACTGGGATAACAGTAGGAGTTTAAGACATATACCCCGACGATTATACAATACTGATCTCATAATTTGATTTAAATTATATCACTGAAAGTACCTAATGTGATCAGGGCCACAGTTCATGTTTTCTTCTCAACTGAAGAATACTTGTTAAAATAATACTTGATAAGAGATGGAATTTATTGTTTCTCTGGTGCTGCCACACTTCATCTGTCAATTTTTAGGAATAAATAGCAAACATGTTTTCAATTAAAACAAACACAAAAGCTTGCATTATTTGAACATTTTGATACAATAACTGAGTCATTCTGGGAAAACCTTTGCTGGACAACATTTTATTTTATTCGTATGCCCCCATTAACATAATAAGCATGTGTTTGGATACAATTACATCCAGCTGTGTTTTCTTTTTGTGTTGCCTTTTTAACTGGACTACCATAGTTCAAACAGTGAAATGACTGTCAGAGTGCTTTGCTGCAAGATTCCGATTTAGTGTGTAGTATATAATTTGCATACTAATACCATAAATAGTTTTCAAACAGATTTCCTGGAGGACTTGAAACCTCTTCTATATGTGTAAATAGAATACTTTTTTCTTTCACAACTAACATTCTGTATGAAAACTGTCCCCTCTCCAGACACACGGAGGAAAATCTTGTGACCTTGTTGAAATTATTATACGGCAAGATCATAACTAGTATAGAAGTTGTCCCTCATCTGTTTTTAAATACCTGGCTGAAAAACTGTCATATATTCAAAAGAAACTTAGTTTCTTTTCATCCATCTGTTAGCATGCTCTTATCTCAAAGTACAAATGCCATTGTATTAATTTACAGCAAAGGACATGTCAGTCCAGTTATGATTAATTCACTGCTGAGATAAATGGATGCAGATAAATAATATGAAAACCCACACATAGAATATTTTTTAATTGCTACTTCGATTATTGGATAATCACATTAGTCTGAATTCCAAGCAGCACAACTTTCTGGTGATGCTTGCTAGAAGGCTGCATGATAGGATTCCGCCAAGAAACACAGAGGAAGAAGAAAGCCTGTTCTGCAACCAGTGGTGGTCCAAGAACTTACATGCTTGGATCTGGCTACAGCCAACATTTAAAAACAACAAGAACCTGAGAGAATGTTTCCTTAAAAAAATCCACTTGATATTCATAATCTTTCCCTGATAACTGTGGCAACAGTGAACGAATGAATGAATTAAGCACTTGTAACAGTGCTAACAGTGAATTAATTTTTTGATACCTGTAGCAACTCTTTGGAAGAATTTGTTTTTTACATCAAATGGGATGCTTTGCCATGGTACATTTCCACCCAAATAGTGCAGAATACCTAATATTTATTGTCTGTTTGCTGTACAAAGTTGCACACTCCAAGGGCCCCTTTTATTGCCTGGCCACATAGCCAACATCAGTTGCTGTCAATACCTTTTTGTGAAAAAATCTCTTTGGTATGATGTATTTGTAATTCTAGTAAGTGTGAAATCCTCAACAGAAAGTAAATTCATGTTTACAGTGACATCAGTTTAAGTTTGGTGTTTTTTTCTTTCTTAAAGCATATTGCAATTTAACTGTGAATTTATTTAAGCCACAATAACCAGAAGTTTTTTTTTGTATCTGACACAAATACACCCATGTATGTGGGAGGGAATAAGCTCATAGATTGCAATAGGCTAGGAACTGTCTGTCTATATTGCTGCTCTGCAGAAAATGATCTGAGGGAGAAGCTGAACATGAGTCAGCAGTATGTCCTTGCAGCAATGCAGACAAACCACATACCCAGCTGTACTAGCAATTGCACAGCCAGCAGGCAAAAGAAGTGGTTATTTCTTTCTGCTTGGCATAATGAGGATACATCTAGAATACCAAGACTAGTTTTGGGCCCCACAAACTACGTAAGAAATATATTCAAAATGGAAAATTCCAGTGAAGGAAAAGACTTTCTTCTGCTTGCAAAAGAGGAGCGACAACTGTTCTCTTCTGCTGCTCAAAGTGGGCTTGCAGAGCTAGATCTGTTCCAGAGATGCACCACGAAAGGACAGGAGGGCAATAGTCAGAAATTGCCATAAAGGAAATTTCAATTAGCTACAAAGAAATATTCTTCAGAATAAAAGGTAGAAGTTGCTTAAGAGAGGGTGTGGAATCTCCATCCCTGGTGATTTTCAAAGTTTGTTTAACCAAGGGCCTGCACAATCTTATTCAACTTAGAAGTTAGCACTGCTTTAAGCAGGAGGTTGGACTAGAGGACATCCAGAGGTCCCTCTCAGTCTACATTTCTCAGGCACAGCCTATGATCTTCACAAGCTGCAGAGACTGAAATTAAAACAATCAACTTTACAGAACACTCCAATTCACGGCAGCGTGAAATTCATCACCCTGCCTTCCCTTCCCCATAACAGCAGAATGGAAAGCCAAGTCTGATATTTGCTGCTTTACTGTTGCCTCTGCCCTCTGGCAGCCTGTGGTGCATATAAATGAACCTAATGATGATCTAAGGAAATGTAATTTCACAGCTTCTTTAGCTAAAAACACGCAGGTGCTATTTAAAATAATTACCTCATTTCAATATGCACACCCATAAATTCAAGGTGCATTAAAGCAGTAAATATTTAGGCAGATTGATTCACATATCTTTCATCATTTCATTGCATTGCACTGTCAATACGCTAGAAATAGACCTTTATA